AAACTCGTCATAATAATTCAAACAATAATAATAATAATAATAATAATATAAAATTAATTAATTCATTACCATCATCATCGCCACTATCGTCATCATCGATATTTCCAGCATCATTTTATGATGAATATCGTAATTTTGATAATATTAATGATAATAATGATTTATTAATTGGTATTACAAATCGTATTAAAGAAGAAATTTTATCAAATTTTAAATATTTTGATTATAAATCATTATCGAATGATGATAATACTGATAATGATATTGATAATGAAAATTTTGAAAATAATAATGAAAATAATGATTACAACAATAATGATAATATTATAAATGATAATTATAATTATGATCCAAGTGATAATAATAATAATAACAATAATAATAATTTAATAAAAGAATCAGTAAAAAGTGCTCGTAAAAATCATGAATTTATGGATAAATTGAATGAAAATTTAAATAATAGTAATGTAATAGTGGAACAACATCAGGATAATAACACTAAAAATAGTAATAGTAATAATAATAATAATAGTAATAATAATAATTATAATAATACAAATTTTAATGAAAATTTTAAAATAAAAATTGAACAAATTGATGATTATGATCATGAAATGATAAATAATGATAATAATAATAACAATAATATTGAAACAATACAATCAACTTCAAAAATAGATTCAACTACAACAACAAAAATAACACATGTAAAAAATTTAATAACAGAAACATTATCAAAAACATCTACAGTTATTTCCACTTCAATAGCAGCAGCTACAGCAACTACAACAACAACAAAATCAAATTTAAAAATAATTTCATCATCAACAACAACAACAACAACAACAACAACATCATCATCTTCATCATCATCATCATCATCTACATCATCATCGTCATCATCAACATCATCATCATTAATATCACCAAAATCATTATCTTCACCAATCAGCAATAATAATAATAATAATAATAAAAATAGCAATAATAATAATGACAAAAAAGATAATAATAATTATAATGATTATTATAATGATATTGAAATAAAACAAGAAGAATATAAAATTAATAATGATAATAAAAATATCAATAAAAAAAGTTTACAACAACAGCAAATATTACAATCAGATAATTATTATGATAATAATTATCAAAAACAATTACAAATAAATATTAATTCACAATATCAAAATTTATATGAAAATAATAATAATAATTATAATTATCAAAGACATCAACATCAATATCATCAACAACAGCAGCAATTATTAAATATTCAAGAAAGCCCACATCAATTAATAAATTATAATAATAATAGCAATAATAATAATAATAATAATAACAATAATATTACACCAGCAATGCAACTGCAACATCAATTAAGTATACAACAACAGGAATTAATTCAACAATTACAATTAGTTCAAAGGCAATATTTAATGCATCAAGGTATTGCATTACAACAACATCATCATCATCATCATCAACAACAACAACAGCAAGCTTTTAATTCTCAAGGTAAATATAATTAAATAATGTACACGTACATACATATACACAGGGGGATTCGTTAAAGAGTACAATATTATATATCATTGTTTAGGGCATCAAAAATGGGTAAAAATTTTGTTTGAATCTAGTTGTTAAAACTCAAAGGTTTCCGAGACACAAGGATTTCAACGAATTTTCACGAATTTTTACTTTCCCAAGCCTTTTTGCTTATAATTTCCTTTCTGAAAAAGATAAAGGCTTGAAATGAACAGTTTCTGAAAGGGCTAATAAATAGCTTGAAAGCAACATATTACTTGATTTTGTATTTTATGTACTTTCGGAATACGATGCGTTCAAACTTTTAAAAAACACCAATTTTTTTTTCCATTTTGTATTTTTATATACAGAAGTAAGTACTTAAAGCAAATTTCTTTTTTGTGCATAAAATACCGATTCTCTTGAGAAGATTGAAAATTATAAAATCTACTAGCAGTTTTATGCTTCCCGTAATTGGTCCTATAAAAAAATCGGAAGAATGAGACTCCTAGTTAGAGTTACAAATAACAATTTTTTTTTCAAATAAGAGGAGATATTAAGTCAGATTTTACATATAAGCTAAAAAAGAATAGCACATCCGCAACATCGCTTCTTTTACCAAAGTTTAAGATTATAAAATAATGCTAAAAAGCCTTAAAATTCCAAAAATTTTAAAATTAAATTTTCTCAAATGTACAAATTGCGAGTTATCTGGTTCTTGTTACAACAAATAAGCGATATATGTTTGGGAGATATTAAATATCATGTATAAAATGCATTCAACTACCTGTATTTATGTATGTTAATATGCATATATTATTGAATTTATAATGCATATTATAATGAATTGTATATGTATATATAAATATTATACACTATATGATTATTTTATATAATTGAGAGGTGAAACTATAAATTTTTATTTATAGTTTTTCTTTATACATACTTATGTATTTTTTTCTTTTCTTCTTTTTCCCAATTTTCTTTATCATATTATACTTTCTTTCTCAATTTTCGAGAATGATCATTATTTTTTTGTTGCCTCTCTCTTTGAATTGTTCTGCGTTGTTCTCTACTTCTCTCGCTTTTGTTCTCTGCATTTTTTATAGAAACGGTAAAAATTTCCTTTATCTCTCGCTCATTTTCTTGTTTATTTTATTTTCCCTAATGTAAATTGGGAATATTTTGTTTTAAATAAACGCGTGATGCATTAATAAACATGTAAATCAAATTTTTATTGATGATTTTATGAAAACGAAATCGAAAAACAGAATGATTTTAGAAAATATTAAAAAACAAAAAAATATTTTAAAACATATAAAATTAGATAACTATAACCTGAGCCCTATTACACCCTACAACTTTTAAAAATTATAGAAAGTAGTTGGTGCTTTATCAAGATTAGAGTCCAGATATTCGTCTATATATTATGAAAAGGTTATTACGCTACACCTTTGTGAATGGTATATTAACTTTGATACAGAGTTTGTAACCACTTGAAGAAGTCATCTGCAATATGGATACGTATATTCTTGCATATATTCTTGTTCAACGTAAAATTCTGCGCTGATTTAGATATGTCCGTCCGTCCGTTCGTTCATGCGATCGCTCGATAGTCAAACTTTCACAAATTGTTTCTTTTGCCAAGTACGTTGCCTATTATAATTGGACCAATTCAGGCAACGAGTTCGGGTACCTGCCACCCAATACCAAAAGGTTAATTTAAATATTCGGAAAAGTAATAAAATTAGGTTCATGAGATTTGGTAATTGTGTCCAATTATAGGTCAGACATATCGATGAAGTTTAGAGATATGGTTCGAGGACTTCAAATAAAATCATCAAAACTAATTCTAAATTTTCAAGGTTTCGGATTTTCCAAGGTACAAGATATAATTCTATCGATTTAGACCATGCTGAAATGTTTTTTTCTTGTATGAATTTAATATTTTAAAATTTTATGTATGTCGGAAAAAGTGTGAATGAAACTCATTACAAATTTACTCATCAATTCTGAATATCCAACTAATCTTTGAAATTTTTATAATGGTGAAATTTTTAACAAATTTGTCGAGTTGGTATTAATTGTTACACATCTCCCCCAACTTTTTCGTAAGCGGTTTATGCACGATAACAAAATAACTAAGACTGATTAAAAGAGCATAAAACAGTAAAAAAATATATTATAAAAGTGGAAATAAATACAAGAGAGAAAGCCAAAGGTGTAAAATTCACTACCACTTCATTGGATTAACCTCTTCAAAAGAAATCCACGTTGAGGTATAAATTTAATAATTTAATTAATTTATTTAATTAGTATTTATTGGAATCTAATTTAATAGTCTATTTCATAGATTTAATCGTGAAATTCAAATTATGTTAAGCTTCTCTCATTTTTTTTGTCTCACCCAATGCAATCGTTTATATGCTCTCAATATACCGTAACAATTCTACTTGCAACGCATGTCAAATGAGGCTAGCCAAATCTTTTCCAAAATGAATCCTTTTATTTCCCAACAAAAAATTTTAATTTTTATATATTCTTTTAAAAATATTAAATATATTTTGTATCTATCTATATATATGTAAATAATAATTAGGGTTGATGAAACCTTTACAACTTGATTTTGAGTCACAAATGCAAAGAGTTATATCACCATTACATCATATGGCAGTTCAACAGCAACAAGATATTATTCATCAGAATTCTCGAGAACACGATCATAATTCACAATATTCATATGATAATAATAATAACAATGGTAGTAATAATCATAAAATTAATAACAATAACAATAATAATAATGACAATCATAATGATAATGAAAATTACCATTATATTAATAATCAACAAAAATATATGACTTCATCAGAACATGATTATCATAACAATAACAATAACAACTGTAAAAAAATTAATAATAATAATAATAATGATAATAATAATGATAATAATAAAAATTCAGTAAAAACTAATAAAAAAAAATACAATATTAATAATAATAATACAACAAAATCTGGCAAAAAAAATAATGATAATGATCATGAAAATAATAGTAATTATGAAAATAATAATAATAATGGTGATAATAATAATAATTGCAATGATAACAATAATAATAATAATCAAAAAATAAATTCAAAAAATGAAAGTGATATATCAAATAATTTAGATAATAATGAAGGAATATATAATGATAAAAATAATAATATCGAAGATATTAATGTAACAAATCAAAATATAAGTGAAAATAATAATAAATTTATTACTAGTAAAAATATCAATAGTCTTAATAATAATAATAATGATAAAATTGAAAACAGTAATTGTAATAATAATACTAATAGAAATAGTATCAATTTGAAAAATTGTGAATATATTAAAAGTGATAATAGTAACAACTGTAATATTAATGATGATATTGAAAATGTTAGTAATAATATAGAAAATAATAATAATACTAGAAATAATAAATTAAAAACTAATAATAATTGTAATAATAGTGAAAATAGTAAAGATAATAATAATATTAGTAAATGTAATAATAATGATAGCGATAATATAAGTAATGATAGTGATAATAATAGTAATAACAATATTGAAATGATAGAAGAAACACAAGAAATTTATATGAATTCTTTGATTACAAATAGTAGTAATGACGGTAATGATAATAATGTAAATAATAATAGCGAAAAAAATGAAAGTGATAATAATATTAATTTAAATAATAATAACAATAATGATAAAAATAATGAAAATATTAATAATGATTTCAATAATAGAAAAATAAAACATAATAATGATATGTCAGATAAAGAATTAGTTCATAATAATGATATTATAATAATAGGGAAGACAGTACCAATATCAACACCATCACCATCATCATCATCACCATCAGTATATTTAACATTAAATAATGATAATAATAATTCAACTGTAAATGCAACAACAACAATAACATCAAATATTAATGAAAATAATAATAATAATGAAAACGAACAACAAAATAATGAATTATCAACAATAACAAATAGTAATAATAACAATTATCAAAATACTGAAAGAAATTATTTAAATTCTGTTTCTGGTTTAGAATTAAATTTGAATCATACAAACAATAATAATAATAACAGTAATAATAATAATGTAAATAATAGTAATCAATCATCATCTGTTTCTTCAATATCATCTACATCTACATCATCAGCTGCTATTGCAGCTGCTATTGCTACAGCAGCAGCAGCAGCTGCTGCTGCTGCAGCTGCAGTTAATGTTACAACAACATCATCAAATTCAAATGATCAAAATAATATTAATAACAATAATAATATTAGTGATAGCAATAATAATATTAATAATAATAATAATAATGATAATAACAGTAATCATAATCATCGCAGTGATATTATTAATAATGTTAATAATATTGGTATTAATGGTGGTGGTAATGGTAATGGTAATATTGGTGGAAATAATAATATTAATAATATTAGTCAATATATCGATTTTGATTATCCAATGTTAAATACAAATGATGTTGTAACAACGCAAATTTCAACAAAATATTATCATCCATTATATTCTCATGGTATGTGTAAATGGCCTGGCTGTGAATTATTACTTGATGACATAACAACATTTGTAAAGTGAGTATGTGTTGGAAAAACAAACAAAAAATTACATTTTTTTTTTTAATTTTTAATTAATCTGTTTTTTGTTTTGGAAACGAATTTTATTACAATATCAAAACATTTAATTAAAATAATTTAAAGCTTTCTTTCAGCAGACAGCATATTAAGATTTTACATTCAAAATTATCTTACAAATTTACCTCTTTGCCTTGTTTTCAGTGTAAACAGTAAGTGTCTCAGACTATATGACTATAAAATTGCAATAACATTACACATAGCTGCAATATTCAGCAATATAAACTCATAAGCTGAATATATTAATATGCGGTTGATAGTATTGTAATTTTAAAAACATGAGACATTTTTTTTTAAATACGAAATCTTTTAAATGATTTCGAAGAAAAAAAACACAATTTTTCATTTTGAAGAAATTTTCGAAGAAAAAAAGCTCAACAATTCATTTTGAATTGTTGTGCACGGTTTCAAAAACATTTATAATTCCATGTAATTTGAATTAAAATTCGAAGTACAAGAGAAACGTTTTCTTTTCGACATCTAAATTTCATTGCAAAAACTCTAACTTCAAAATTGCAGTAATAAAGTATTTATACAAAATTCATCTTATAAATTCTTACTGCTGAATTATCTACATTAATACCTTATTGCTACAATTCTGAAATTATGCTATTTCAATACATAATTAATAAATTAACATTCCCTGAAATCCGAATTGTAATAATACTGTATTAATGAAGAATTCAGCTTACAAATGCCAATTGCTGAATTGTTTTAGTGATACTGTATTATTACAATTGCGATGTCAGGGAATTTCAAGCTCATTTGTATAATAGTAATACGGTAACATTGTAATTTGGATGTCAAAAAACGTATAAATATAACAATTTAATAAATGAAAGTAAGTAACAAAATTTTATTGATCCAAGGTGTTTCCAACATGAACTATGAAATAATTTATGAAAATGGTTAATAACTATTTATTCTATATTTATTGTATAATTATATGTAAATGATTTTTTTTGTATAAAGCATGGGAATTGAACTAAAACTTTTAATTATTTTTAAGTTTCTTTAATTTCGTAATATTAATAAAATAGTTGTACACATTTGTAGTCACCACCATATGGCAAATTTCTTTCGAAAAATTTAGATTGTTTTATAATTCGAGAGCAAAGCTGATTTCTTTCGAGAGCAAAGGATTTCCAGAAATATTTATTAATTAACGGAACACAACTATTTTAGTACTATTATGGAATTTTAATAATACTGTTAACAAATAAATCTTATTTTATTTACAGATTTACATTATTAATTTTTTTTTATTAAAAAATTTCCTAAAATGAACACCAAAGGCATTGTTATAAATTTTTTTGCTCAGTACTATAGCTATTTTAAAGTTACTGTAGAAAACAAGGAGTGCTCGTTAAAATTGGGATATGAAAATTCCACTATACATCATATATGCGTCCCATATAAAATTGGTAAAAATTTTATCATTAGCATCAAATTAATATCAATAATTAGACTTTGCGAGATTCTTTATAGTATTGCATATAATAAGCCGTCAAAATTTGAAAGTATTATAAAAATAACTGCAATGAAATCTCGAACTATTTTTCAATAAAAACATTCCTTATTCTTTAATTGTTTCGTTAATGTTTTTTAATTTCAATAACATTGTGGTTGTTATACACAATTCAGTAATTAACGGTTGTAGGCTAAAATTTTATTATACAGTCGAACAAGCTTAATAATAGAATTTCTGATTTTAACAAATTATATTTAATAAATAATAAATTAACATTATGTGAAATAAAACGATCTTATAAAAGATGTTTACATACTTACTTTGAAAATAGCTAAAAACGTTTTTAAATGATTAAGATCTAGACAGATAGAAAAACAGAACACAATGTTCTGTTCATATATTTTAAGACCAGCTGTCTAGATACAACTTAAAGCGTAATTGACAGATATTTTAACAGGTACATTCTTAATAAAAATGCCTTCACATTCAAAAAAATTACCCAAAGAAAGTTTGTAAAAAAATTACCCACAGAAGTTGTAAACATGAAGGTTTACACTTTTTGCTTAAAAAATAAGGAATTTTTCTTCGGGATTTTTTTGTTGCAATTTTTTTTTGCCAAATTTTCAATTTGTAATTTTAAGCAGGCGAAATTGAATGAAATTAGGCGTTTTGATGTCGAGAATCGCGTGATTTTAAGAGAGTTTCTATCAAGCGAGTTCGAATATGTTAAAAAGTATATGAAGTTTTTTCTTGTCAAAAATTTTGTAAATTTAACCGAGCTGTGATATTAAACAGGGTTGATATTAAGGGTGTTTGACTGTAATGCCGAAATTTTAGAAGTCATTGATTAATTCGATATTACGTTATATAAAAAATTATTGAATGAAAATTTATTTTATTAATCAGTAAAAATTGTGATAAAATTTAGTTTATCTATATACGTGTATATATATCGCGCATTATGATTTGAAAAAAATATAAATTATAATGAAGGCTTTGATTTCATAATCACAATTAGAAATTTTTGGGCATCTTTACCGAAATGCAGTAATAACGTGAATTATAACTTGTTCAACAATAATAATATAGAAATTTAATTTGTGCGAATGAGTCAAATTGATATTAGATGTGCATTTTCATGGAGACGCTCTTTATGTTAAGTATATTATGAAAACAGCGAAAAAATATCCAACGTGACTTTAAAATTACAGTAATATCGTAGATGATATACAATTCAGCAATTGCAACTTATAAGCTGGATTGTGTATAAAACAACGTATTCGCATATTTTTTACAATTCAGTGTATTTTTATATTTAACATAAAAATATTTTGTATTTTTTGAAGGACAAATAATGTTTTATATTTTAAGACCAGCTGAAACGAGTAGCAGTTACAATATGGAAGAAATCTACACTCTATATCAAATGGTAATTTATTTTATGTTTGTGTTTTTATGTTTAACAAAAAAAAAAAAGAATGTTATAAAAGAAAAAAAAATGGAAAAAAATAATTTTAATTGTAAACTTAATAATAAAAATAAATAAATACAAAAAGTTTTGGGAATAAAAATTGGATATTTTGTGTTTTATTAACTTTTATTAATTAACTTACGTTTGCATAAGGCTTTTAATAAAAATTTTAAATACTTACTTTTAAAAAATTAAATTTATTAATTAAAATACGCCATTGTAATCGGAAATGTATAAACAGCAATCGCAAAAAGAAAGTAAATTTTTTATAACTTATTCAGCCATTTGACACAAACTTTAATTTTATTATGGGTGAATTTTCTGTACACAAAGCTTATTTTACGAATCAACTTCGAAATAACGTTTTCCAATAAAAGATGGCAAAATGTTTCTTTTTTTTTAATGTTAAATTGTTATAATTTTAATAAATGTTAATATTTAATATATAGTAATCATATACTAATATTTAACTATAATGTGCAGAAAATTTACCTTACAAGCAATTGATTCAATTTTCGAAATTTAAATATTAAATTTAAATACAATAAAGTAAGTGTTTCTTCTACACTATTCAGCATTACAAATTATATTGAATATAATGTGGTATATAATATGGCAAGTACAATCGAATACAAATCTTAATATATACTTAATTTATTTAGCTACACAATTTTAATAGCCGAACAAATTGAAATGATAGTGGAGTTTATTCCAAGTATCGAATCACTAAATGATATTGATATTTTTAAAATTTGTATTTACATTAATAGTACCGGATTTTTACAATTAAATATCACTTTTATTTATTAAGTAATCCGATACTAAAATTAAACCTTAATTTTTGCATTTAAATGTATACGGTCGTTATTTTTGGCATGATTCAGCATAACTACGTGTGTACTTTCCTTCAAAGCTGAATTCTAATAAGAATTAAATAAGAACTAAATTGCTGAATTGCTTAATAAATCCTTTTGTAAACGTAAGATTTACTAACAACATACTAATATTGATATAATTAAATCAATATATGTACAATATGTATATATAGTGAATGTTCCGTAAACTAGATTATATACTTTCGAAGCAGAATATAACAAAATGGACCCAGGTAAACATAAATTATTAACGAGTTTATACTCATTTAATTATCGATAATTTTGGTTTAGTTTTGAATTTATGCAGGATTTCAAAGTTAAATTTAGCCAACCAACTACATAATTATGTTCCGTATTTTGCTACCATAACTTTGAGATTTAATAATTCTCTTTGAAAATTTTTCTAACATATTCACATATTTTAATATGAAAAATTTGAGTTTAAATGTATGTTAATATAATTAAGGTATTTTGAGTAAATAACTGTTAGAGTGGGAGAAGTTTAAAAAAAAAAAATAGTTTTAAATTTGTTTTTGTTTTCAAATTGTTTGGGAAATGAAGCAAAAAATCCAGAATTTCGATTAATATCATTGACGGTCGGAATATATAAAGAGAGAATTTTACAGGAATTTTTAATTGAATTAATCGAAATTTCGATGCTACATGTTAAATTTTTTTTAAGGAGTAATGAACTATAGAGTTTATTAATTTGAAAAAAATGGGACAAAATATTAAGAGTTGCTTCTATTATTTTTATATTCATCTAAATCTTCATCTCATCGAGTTTGCTTCGAGTAATATAATCGAGTTTCGGAAATTTATTTAATTTATTTTATGAATACACATAAATAAAATAAATTTGATAAATTGTGTATAATAAATATAATAATAGGCATAGTATATACAGTGGATTAGGCAGTGGAAAATATTTTGTTTATTCAAAGAAATTTCTTTATGAGGGTATACAAAAACAATTTTTTGGCTTGAATAAGAATAAGTTCGAAGTAGATTTAAATTAATAAAATATACATTTTAGCCAATTTAGTATTCACTTTATAAATTTAATTTTAAATTTTTTTGATTTCGGATATTATAAAAGTTTTTTAATATTCTTGAAATTCCA